TTGTAACACTGGGTGTATTGTAGACATTAGCGTTGAAGTCTGTTAACGCTGGTGGTAGTGTGTGGCGGGTGGCCACTACACAAGATATTATACCTGACGACTGTGGGTCAGGTAATTAACGGATTACCAGAGAAAAGGGACAGTGTGTGTTGCGTTTGGTGATGTCTCGTGGTGGTTTGATGCGCTCTGGCGCAAGGCATATGCCTGTGGTGGTAATGGCGTTGGGGACGCCGGGTGTGGTGTTGATGGCGTTGGGGACGCCGGGTGTTGTGGTGATGGCGTTGGGGACGCCGGGTGTTGTGTTGATGGCGTTGGGGACGCCGTGTGTGGTGTTGATGGCGTTGGGGACGCCGGGTGTGGTGTTGATGGCGTTGGGGACGCCGGGTGTTGTGTTGATGGCGTTGGGGACGCCGGGTGTGGTGTTGATGGCGTTGGGGACGCCGGGTGTTGTGTTGATGGCGTTGGGGACGCCGGGTGTTGTGTTGATGGCGTTGGGGACGCCGTGTGTTGTGTTGATGGCGTTGGGGACGCCGTGTGTGGTGTTGATGGCGTTGGGGACGCCGGGTGTTGTGTTGATGGCGTTAGGGACGCCGTGTGTTGTGTTGAGGGCGTTGGGGACGCCGAGTGTTGTGTTGAGGGCGTGGGGACGCCGTGTGTTGTGTTGAGGGCGTTGGGGACGCCGTGTGTTGTGTTGAGGGCGTTGGGGATGCCGTGTGTTGTGTTGATGGCGTTGGGGACGCCGTGTGTTGTGTTGAGGGCGTTGGGGACGCCATTGGGTGGTGTAGTGTAGTGGCGTTTGGACGCCTGGTATGGAGTGTGGTGTTGTGGAGTATATGGTGGCGCAGGGGCGCCAGGTAGTGGTCGGTAAGGTGAGTATTGGCGTAGCAAGGTCGGTGCGTTAGGACGCAGGAAGTGGTTGTAGGGATGTGTGGCGTTATATTGAGGTCATCAGTGGTTGGGATGACCAGAGGAGATGGTGTGTCGGAGTGGGTAAGTCTTATGGATAAGATGAAATGTGAATAATTGCAGGAGTTGGTGGCTGCAGTAGGCGAGTCAAGTCGATATCTCTAGCAAGACTCATAAAAGACTAATAAAAATTCATTATTTTCATTAAAATTTTCATTAATTAAGTCGGAGTGGGTAAGTCTTATGGATAAGATTATAAGGTAGAATTTCAAATTTCAGGTGTTGGTGGTTGCAGTGGACGAGCGAAGTAGATATACTAATTTCTTATTAAGTTGTTACAGGAATCTCGCTAGAGGCGAGCCAGTGGCAGTATGATGTTTTAGTGACATAAGTGTGAAATTATTTTAATGAGGTATTTATTGTGATAATGTATGTGCATGTATATACTGTATATTACTTCATCGGCACCATTACTGAGTGTTAGGCTTGAGAAGGTCCCCCGGGATCATGTCACAGAGCTTCAGGTAGAGTAGAAGGGAAGCTATGAGGCTACACTCAGTAATTCTAGAGAAAAAAAAAAGGGGGAGGAAGTGAAGCCAACGTGACGTTATAGGCGAAATTCGCCCCCTGACATCAAAGCAGGGATAAGGGCCAGCTGCAATGGTTTTGCAGCTGCGCTCAGGCTATATACGGGGAGAGAGTAAGGAGCCGAGGGGGTTATGTAATAATGGGATCGAGCCAGGGGGCTCCGAGGGAATATTTTGCAGGTACAGCGGTCGGGAAGGTGTGAATACAGGTGGACCCACTCTGGGCGGATGGGCCTAGACCAGAGAGCTGTGAGGTATCTACAGCGTTCTGGGATTGGTGCCCTGGAACGAGACGTCAGCACAGACCCAAGGGGACATGACCCTGGGGTAGGAATCTCCGTTGCTCTGGAGGCCAGGATCACGTTACCTCAGAGCAACGATGGGACATTAACAACATTCACCAGGCTGGACAGCCTGGGTTTTGTCTGGGTCATGGAGGATCTATGACCTAGCAACCATGGGACACAAAGACAAGAGAAGTGATGCTGCCAATTGTGGAGGAGGCCAGTGAAACATTGTGTGATCATTGTAAGCCCTTATGTCAACAGTACAGGGCAAGATGTTAAATTATAATTACTAAGGATGAAGAACCTTAGATATATATGTGTTGTGTATATATTAATGACTAGTGTCATTTCTGTTTAAGTGCCAGCATTCTGGTCCATGTAATTTTATGGTTATGTTTGTATGTAATTATATGTCAGCAGTTTAGGTATATGTGCATTGTTGGAGATGGGAAAAATTATTACAGACTACTTTACCTGTGCTATGATGTGAATATAATGTATATGTTGGAGAAGTGTTGTGAGTCATGTCGGGGAAAATTTTAATTTATTTCATTGTGTGTATGATGAACTTATTGGATGATTTTTTAGTTGTACACATATGGTGGGTGCATCCTCCAGGTCCTTGCACTAATGGAACCATTGCAATGATGCATATGGGGACATATGCGTGTTTAAGGAGGGGAGTGGTGTTGTAATCCACAAGTTAGTAGGAATTATTAGCTAGAGGATCATTACTACAACACTTAACGAATGATGATTGAAAGTACATGTAAGTAGACAGACTATGGATCACATATCTAAGAAAGGTCAATGGATTAAGACCGAAGCTGTTTAGCCAAATGATTAATTCCTGGAAAGAGGAATTATTCTTCGTCAGGCTTCCAGGAACAAGATTACCTCTCTAGGGATAAGGTTAATCGGATTATACCTTCCTTGAGAGGTGGGGTGAAATGGTTGAGGGAGATGGCTGACTGGAGTCAGTCTGATTGTGGGAGTGGAACTGGGAAGGCCTCCGCATCTCAGTTTGTGGCAGCAGCGAAGTGTAGCAGACAGCTATGCGAGAGCCTGTTGTGATCTTAGTGACCAAGTTAAGTCTGCAGTATGTGAGTATTGAATGTAAGACTAACCGGGTGTGGAGCGTTGTAGTAATCATTCCGTATTAGGGACTTAGGCGGAAGTTACGAGTGTGGGGGGTGATCGCGGAGGTCAAGTGGTCTATGGGTATTGGAAGTGTATTGACCTAATAGAGTATGTTAATTAATATAGTATTATTTGTCAGAGTCTATTCTTTGTAATTAAATGACAAAACCCGACGGCCTTTAAATACCTTCCATATGTCCACTCATTGTGTTCCAGTACAAACCTAGTGGTACGCCTCAAGGGTCTGGTGTGTGTAGGAGTACACGGTGGTAGTAACGGTTGCTGAGGCAAGGTGTTATGTGTTGTGTAATTGCTGTGTTCGGAATGAACCGGGGTTCAGCGTCACGACACCCCTGAGGGCAGGCTGGACACAACCTCCCCTGAGGGCAGGCTGGACACAACCTCCCCTGAGGGCAGGCTGGACACAACCTCCCCTGAGGGCAGGCTGGACACAACCTCCCCTGAGGGCAGGCTGGACACAACCTCCCCTGAGGGCAGGCTGGACACAACCTCCCCTGAGGGCAGGCTGGACACAACCTCCCCTGAGGGCAGGCTGGACACAACCTCCCCTGAGGGCAGGCTGGACACAACCTCCCCTGAGGGCAGGCTGGACACAACCTCCCCTGAGGGCAGGCTGGACACAACCTCCAACAACGATGCATCAAGAATGCGAAGCATTAGTAATAAAGTCATACTCCCATCTTACGACCATGTCTTGGAGAAACCTTACCTGGTTGATGGGGTTCTGGGAGTTCTTCTACTCCCCAAGCCCGGCCCGAGGCCAGGCTTGACTTGTGAGAGTTTGGTCCACCAGGCTGTTGCTTGGAGCGGCCCGCAGGCCCACATACCCACCACAGCCCGGTTGGTCCGGCACTCATTGTGTTGCCATTTGAGAAGCTGCCATTTGAGAAGCCTTGGGTGTAACTCCTGCCATTTACCTCTACCACAGTGTCACTAAAGTATCCACTGGTGCCCCCCCCTTCACCCTCCTCATATGCTAGGAACATTTCCGTCCCTTGGATCAAGTGATGAAGTATTGAAACCCCCCAGGCTGTTGTGGAGTGCATCTTAAATCCTAATCTACTGAACAAGGCAGCTGAAGCTGTCACATCCCTATCACGGGAGGTGTTTAAGTATTTGGTTCTACAATTAGCATCAAAGAGAACACCATAGACCTTATTTTCACCACCAACAGAGTCACAAATCTACACACAAATAATTTCTTAGAGAGAGCAAGAGGCGCGGCCGTGGCGTGGAGGTTGTCACCTGTCTGTAAACTAGGGCACCGAGGATTGTCAACTGGCTGTCTATATATATGGGACAAAACTCGCCGGCATTCTTCAGCGTTCATGAGGATGCTTGGTAAACACCTGCTGTTTATCAGCCTGGTGATGGGGAGGAGGGACATCACCCACCTGGTGATGGGGTGACATCATCCACCTGGTGATGGGGAGGGACATCACCCACCTGGTGATGGGGGGGGGGGACCACTCACGCCACCCAGAGTCGCGCCCAGCAGCCTGGTCGACGACCGGGCCGCGGAGCCCCGAAATCATCTCAAGGTAACCTCAAGGAGGCGGCCAGCTGCACCATCCATCCCGCTCTCTCAATCTGCCACCGTTTAAACCGTCAATATTACGGTGCTATATTTGTTACTAATAGGAACCATTGTTAACGGATCGGTCGAGTCCGTTAACAATGCGACCTATTAGACAAAGGGCCGGGCTGTGTCGAGGTCCTCGCCCGTGCCTCTGCACCGGTACTGACCTCTGGAATACCCCCAGATGAAGAAGGCCCGTGGAGGCCAACTCCTACCAGGATTCGAAGGGGGCATTTTCGTGACCACTGACGAAGCATGTAGATCTTCCCTTGACCATAGCGGCTTAGTCTGTAAATCTATGAAAGTTTGGAGCTTGCAGACTTCACAACCCAAGGTTATTACTGTTATATGTAATAATAACCTTAAGTGCAGGGGGATAATACTCTCCCAGTGCTGGGTTCTCACTCACCATGAGTAGATGAAGGTGTAGTGGGGGGGGGGGGTGCGGCTTAGGGGAGGGGGTGTTGGGTACTGACTCACCTGTTCTGGGTGAGGGTGTAGTGGGGTGAGAGGTGGGGCCGAGGGGACGGGGTGCCAGCCTGGTGCTGACGCTCGTACTCAGCACACAGGGTCAGGATCTCCTCCAGACGAGCCCTCTCAGCCGCCGCTGCCTCCTGCTCCTTCAGCCGCTCCTCCACCGCCTGCAGGAGAAACTACAGTCTTAGCACACCTCAACAGTACATAACAATATACCAAACTGCATTAGACCTATTGGTAAATAGGAGGCAGCTCCTATTGGCCCATACGAGGCAGCTCCTATTCAAACGAACGGAAATATAATTGAGAAAAATGTGAAAAATGACGCCCAATTAACACGGCGGGCCCACCACGCGTCCATCTCCCGCCAACAAATACAAGAACTGTGGCGGGAACAGCGGTGGATCCCTTCAAGAGAAACGCTGGGCACGTTCCAACGTGATCTGCTTGACCAGACTGACCAGGCTCCAGGAGGCCTGGTCGACGACCGGGCCGCGGGGACGCTAAGCCCCGGAAGCACCTCAAGGTAACCTCAAGGTGTGTGAGCCACAAGTGACAAGAGAAAGACACAAGACAACTCGCACCTCAAAAGACCAGCGAGATAATTAACAGACACAATACAGAGAGAGAGAAAGCAGATAACAAGAGAGAGAGGGAGGAGAGGTGGGAGAGCAACATTAGCGTGGTGGAGACACATCCTGGAAGTAACAAGCATCTTCCCGTCCCGTCATCTCCCAGGCACATCTGTGCGGATGTTGGCTCACATCCATGTCACGCTGGGCTCTTCTACATCCACACACAAGTATCCCCCAACCCCTTCCCTCCTCCTCGAAGTCAGGTCAACTCAAGTAACCCCTCTCCACGAAGTCAGGCCAACACAAGTAACCCCTCTCCACGAAGTCAGACCAACCCCCCACCTCCCTGAAGTTCTTGTTTTGATAATGGGACGAAAACAAAACAGTGTGACATAAAATAAAGAATGATAAGCTTATCTCTGTTGACACACACACTGTAATCTGCCGAATGTAAACATGTCTTCACACGTGGGAATATTTCAGCCAATCCTCCTAAAATGACAGTAACTTACAGTAACTTGGGTGGACGCACCAGTACGGACTGTTGGGTCACCCTCTCCGAAAAAAAGCAGTTTACATTTTGTATATTAATTTTATAGAGTCGCAGAAAAAGACAAAACCCCCCCTAGCTTAAGTAGGTCTATTGAAGCACATACATGTATTAGGCCTAGGATTGCCAGGACAGGTCAGGTTAGGCTCTTCAGTTACTTTTCCGATGTTCTAGATGCATTTGTGCTAATTCAGTAACACAACACGTGAACAGTACACATTGGTACTTTAACCAAACAGTTGATATAAGTACTATCATGGGATGAACTATTTAGTCTTATTATATATTGTATTAATTATACACCATGTATACTTTGCCACTCATCATCCTAATATTCACAACAATGTGAACATTGGGCTACAAATTAATACGTCTACAGGAGTAATGTGATCCCGGGTTCGATCCCGCAATACAATAAAAAGCACAATGTAAGATGTCACATTTGTTCGTACATTCCCCAGCCTCCACTACTGTCCCTGTCCTTCCCAGCCGTCTTGGCGCCACCCACGCCCTTCTGCTCCCCCCCCCCTGCCCCAGTCTCCCGACGCCACCACCCACGCCCTCTCTGTCTTCCACAGCCTCCTGACCCACGCCCTCTCTGCCTTCCACAGGCTCCTGACCCTCGCCCTCTCTGCCTTCCACAGGCTCCTGACCCACGCCCTCTCTGCCTTCCACAGGCTCCTGACCCACGCCCTCTCTGCCTTCCACAGGCTCCTGACCCACGCCCTCTCTGCCTTCCACAGGCTCCTGACCCACGCCCTCTCTGCCTTCCACAGGCTCCTGACCCACGCCCTCTCTGCCTTCCACAGGCTCCTGACCCACGCCCTCTCTGCCTTCCACAGGCTCCTGACCCACGCCCTCTCTGCCTTCCACAGGCTCCTGACCCACGCCCTCTCTGCCTTCCACAGGCTCCTGACCCACGCCCTCTCTGCCTTCCACAGGCTCCTGACCCACGCCCTCTCTGCCTTCCACAGGCTCCTGACCCACGCCCTCTCTGCCTTCCACAGGCTCCTGACCCACGCCCTCTCTGCCTTCCACAGGCTCCTGACCCACGCCCTCTCTGCCTTCCACAGGCTCCTGACCCACGCCCTCTCTGCCTTCCACAGGCTCCTGACCCACGCCCTCTCTGCCTTCCACAGGCTCCTGACCCACGCCTGCTGCCTTCACCAGCATCCTGGTCCCGCCACCCACGCCCCTCTGTGATCCACGCTCAACCACAGGAAATGAAGCACTGACAATTGGCCGGTGTCAACACTACAACCCAACCATCAGTGGCCCACAGAAGATGCTGTGGTTATACAGCTCCTTAAGTCCCCCTGCAGCTGTTACTGCTCCGTACTCGCATACCACCTTCAGCCTACTGGTACACACACACACACAGATGAACTGGACAAACTGAAGGAATGTTCCAACAAATGGCTGTTAGAGTTTAACCCGATCAAATGTAAAGTAATGAAAATAGGTGTAGGGAGCAGGAGGCCAGATACAAGGTACCATTTGGGACAAGAAATTCTTCAAGAATCGGAGTGAGAAAGACCTGGGGGTTGATATCACGTCAGACCTGTCCCTGAAGCCTATATGAAGAGGATATCATCAGCGGCATATGTCAGGTTGGCCAACATAAAAACGACTTGTGTAAGGAATCATTAAGAACCTTGTATAAAACATATGTTAGACCAATCCTAGGGTATGCAGCTCCAGCATAGAGTTCGTATCTCAAGCACAAAACTAAATTGGAGAAGGTTCAGAGGTATGCCTTCAGACTAGTACCCCGAGCTGAGGGGTATGAGCTACGAGGAGAGACTACTGGAGCTAAACCTCACGACGCTAAAAGAAAGAAGAGTTAGTGGGGGAGACGATCACCACATACAAGATTATCAGAGGAATTAATAGGGTAGATAAAAGCAATTTATTTAACACAAGGGGCACACGCATTAGGAGACACAGGCGAGAAAATTGAGTACCGAGATAAGCCATTGAGACATTAGAAAGAACTTTTTCAGTGTCTGAATGGTTAACAAACGGAATACATTAGGAAGTAATATGGTGGAGGCAGAATACATACACAGTTTCAAATGTAGATACGATAGAGCCTAATAGACTCAGGAACCTGTACACCAGTTGATTGACAGTTGAGAGGCGGGGACCAAAGAGACGAAGCTCAACCCCCGCAAGCACAACTAGATGAGTACACCCACACTCGTCCCTCTCTTACTGGTACTCTCATCACTTGACAAGTCTCGTCCCGTTAAGTTCACAAGAAGCGTCGAATCTGTAGTGGTTTTGCCCAACCACAAGTGTATAAACCTACAGAAGCCCCTCCTAACCTATGGAGGCCGGGGCGCTCTAGTCCAAGGCAGCGTCTGACTCATAAAGATTAAGCCACTGGCACGGGCATGAATAGCCCGTAAAAGGCAGCGTCAACATGTCGCTACTCCTGCTCCTGTACCAGGTAAGTTATGCGGCTCACCATAGCCCGTGCTACTTGGAACTTGGATTCCCCTCCCCCCACGATTAACGGGGGTCCCTGAGGGCTGGCACCCAGTGCCTGGTGAGACATGGGTCGCCCTTCAACGTTCCTGAAGGTGAGATTGGCGGCCCTTGTCAGCACCAGCGCACAGTGACCCCTAGCGGCGCGGGAACGGTATTACCATGCGTGGGAGACCCTCCCCAGTCAGCCCTGGAAGCGGGGCATACAGCCAACCCTCAATGGAGAGGCAATACCAACAGACCGTTAAACGGCGACCATCCCTCGCTGTTGAGACTATTGTGCACCCCATACTCGTCCTGTGAGTGGTAGTTTATTGTGCACCCCATACTCGTCCTGTGAGTGGTAGTTTATTGTGCACCCCATACTCGTCCTGTGAGTGGTAGTTTATTGTGCACCCCATACTCGTCCTGTGAGTGGTAGTTTATTGTGCACCCCATACTCGTCCTGTGAGTGGTAGTTTATTGTGCACCCCATACTCGTCCTGTGAGTGGTAGTTTATTGTGCACCCCATACTCGTCCTGTGAGTGGTAGTTTATTGTGCACCCTATACTCGCCCTATACTCGTCCTGTGAGTGGTAGTTTATTGTGCACCCCATACTCGTCCTGTGAGTGGTAGTTTATTGTGCACCCATACTCGTCCTGTGAGTGGTAGTTTATTGTGCACCCCATACTCGTCCTGTGAGTGGTAGTTTATTGTGCACCCCATACTCGTCCTGTGAGTGGTAGTTTATTGTGCACCCCATACTCGTCCTGTGAGTGGTAGTTTATTGTGCACCCCATACTCGTCCTGTGAGTGGTAGTTTATTGTGCACCCCATACTCGTCCTGTGAGTGGTAGTTTATTGTGCACCCCATACTCGTCCTGTGAGTGGTAGTTTATTGTGCACCCCATACTCGTCCTGTGAGTGGTAGTTTATTGTGCACCCCATACTCGTCCTGTGAGTGGTAGTTTATTGTGCACCCCATACTCGTCCTGTGAGTGGTAGTTTATTGTGCACCCCATACTCGTCCTGTGAGTGGTAGTTTATTGTGCACCCCATACTCGTCCTGTGAGTGGTAGTTTATTGTGCACCCCATACTCGTCCTGTGAGTGGTAGTTTATTGTGCACCCCATACTCGTCCTGTGCGTGGTAGTTTATTGTGCACCCCATACTCGTCCTGTGCGTGGTAGTTTATTGTGCACCCCATACTCGTCCTGTGCGTGGTAGTTTATTGTGCACCCCATACTCGTCCTGTGCGTGGTAGTTTATTGTGCACCCCATACTCGTCTGTGAGTGGTAGTTTATTGTGCACCCCATAGTGGTAGTTTATTGTGCACCCCATACTCGTTCCTGTGAGTGGTAGTTTATTGTGCACCCCATACTCGTCCTGTGAGTGGTAGTTTATTGTGCACCCCATACTCGTCCTGTGAGTGGTAGTTTATTGTGCACCCCATACTCGTCCTGTGAGTGGTAGTTTATTGTGCACCCCATACTCGTCCTGTGAGTGGTAGTTTATTGTGCACCCCATACTCGTCCTGTGAGTGGTAGTTTATTGTGCACCCCATACT